GCTTATCCTACAGCTGGTCTACCCTATACTGGAGGCCTTAACCTTTTAAAAATTATATAGGCTCTTCTAGTAAAGGAAGGAATTCCAGAAGTATAAAAAACTATTTTCTATTATAAATAAAAAGAAGCTATACTCAGTTTCTTTAACTAAGGTTACTAGCCTATTATAGATAGTATATTATATATACCTAACCCTGGCTTTAAATAATATACCGCTCGGATAACTAGATATTTACAGGCTAGCTAAATTCCAAATATTTAGTTAGCTGGATCTCTATATAACCCTTTATTATACTATATTATAATTATATAATAATAATAAGTATATAACTCAGCTCAGGTTCCAGATATCCTAGATCTAAAGTTAGTAAGAATCTAGAAACCAGTATAAATAAATACCTATAAGAAAATCTAAAGGTCCTATATATATAGTATATTATAATCAGCCTTAGCTACTAAGTAGAGGGAAGGGAAAGATTCCAGTAGCTTTATTTAGCTAGCTAGTAGTATAGAGTATATATATACTGTAGCTTTATCTCTTTAGTATAATATATAATAATCTAGATATCCTTTTATTTAGTAGCTAAAAATCAAAATATTATAATTAGTTTATTTTCTAAGCTTATTTCCTATACTACTTTAAGCAGTTACTGCCTGTAGCTATATACTGCTATTTTACCTTCTTTTACCACCTTTATTATACTTACTCTTATTATTATAGAGTCTAGCCTATATATAAGAATAAGGAATAAAATCCTAAGGAAGATAGTTAGGCAGGTAATAGTATATTATTTTATAGTAAGCCCTATATTTATTAGTCTAAAGAGCTTAAATATACCTCTAGAATAGAATTAATCTAATTACTATCTATATTTCTCTACTAGTATATAATAATCTTACTATAGTTCTACTGTAATATTAATAAGCTTTTACTATTTAATAGTATCTAGCTTTATATAGCTATCTCTATTTTACCTGATTTAATACCTATAGAGTAATACTATACTAGTTCTATATATAACTTCTAAAGTAGTCTAAATATTAAAAGTTAATATCTTTATACTTTAGATACTTATACTTAATTACTTACCCCTGTTTCTTAGCTTACTCCTATCTAGCTAGATAATAGTTATTAAAATAATTATTTATAATAGCTAGCTAGTAATATAGGAAGATCTACTTATTAATAGATAGTTACTTATTACTAATATAATCCGGATACTATATTACTTATATAAGAAGAGGGAATAGATTAGAACTAGATATAACTTTACTATATACCCTGGGTAATTTAGCTTTAATAAGTAGTTCAGAGCTAACCCTTAGCTAGATATAATCTTATTTAACTATCTCTCTCTTATTATAGAGTATTATTATTAAATTAATAGTCTTAATTCTATACTAAAGAATCTAATCTTTATCTAGATTATAGAACTAGTAATAGAGAATCTCTACTAACTAAGTTTATATTAGTATAATAATATTAATAACTAGCTCTATATACTTCTCTTCCTTTTCCCCCTATACTTATATCTTAATATCCTAAGTAGGCTAATAATAAAAGTAATACTTATAGTATATTTTAATAATCTTCTTTTAATACTATATATACTTTAAGTAGATTTTATATATAAGCTTATAGATCTTCTTCTTATCCTAATAGCTCTTAATCTAGTAGTTCCTCTATCTGAGTATAGTATATTACTATTTAAGCTTTTAGATATTTAGATCTAGTACTAAGCCTGCTTATACTTCCTTAGATATTATATTAAAAGTTATTTAAGGGTTATATATAAAGCTAATATATATAAATAGCTAGAATAGCTATATCTCCTTCTCTTCCTTAAGGAAAGTATTCTAAAGATTAAAGTTAGTAATCTTATTAAGATAAGTATAGTAGAATATTATAAATTAAGAATTATAGTATATTATTTAGTTATAAATAGTATCTAGTATATCTTCTAGAATAATAAATCTAGTTAGTACTATCTCTAAGCTCTAACTATTTATTCTAGATAGATAATAAATATAATATATACTATTAGCTATATTAGTAGTATCTCTCTAAGTAAATCTAGATATCTATCTTCTCTTATACTCTAAATTAAGACTCTATTAGCTAATATTATCTCTAAGCTTTAAATATAATATAGTATTAGTATAAGAGAATATAGTACTATAGTACTAATAAAATATAGAAGTTTTTAGTTTAGAAGCTTTCTATTAGAGTAAAGTATATTTCTTAAACTATAATAGCTTTAATATAAAGATACTCTTTATATCTATTAAGCTTACTATATTAAAGATATTATTATATAGAGTAAAAGTAATAATAGTAGAAATAGTATAGAAGAGAATTTTTCTAGTAGGGGTAAAATAGAAAATTATTCTAATAAAGCTATTAGTAATATATAAAGCTTAATTATTTAGATTAAAGAATAGAAGGATATATAGTTTAGGTTTCTTATTAGTTTCTTTATAATAAATAAACTTAATAGCTATAGTAGGTATATACTATCCGGTAATTAGATACTATATAATTAATATCTGAATATCTTTATAGTAGAGGGTCTTTAGATACTTATACCCTATAGTCTTATAGGAAAGAAGATTCTTAAGTTTAGAGTCTTTATCTATAAGAGAGCTATTATTTTTATTAATATTATTAATATTAGAAGGGAGAGACTAGATAAACTAGCTCTTAAAGAGCTTTTTAATAGATCTATTTTTAGATTTCTTTTACTTACTATCTATAAGCTTAGTAGATTATATTCTAATATAGTATAGTAGCTAATAATAGCTAGCTAGGTAGATATAGTATTACTTACCGGGGAAAATACTTATATTATATATAATATTAAATATTAAAATAATATATAGATTATCTATATTAAGAACTAGCTTATTATTAATATTAAATACTTAGTAGTTAAAATAAGAAGCTAAGACTTAGTAATAATACTAGCTATCTATTAGTAGAGCTTATATAGTATATAGAATAGTAACTAGCTATATTTATATAATTAGAAGGAGTCTATCTACCTTATATACTTCCTTAGTATTATTTCAGTCTATATACTAGCTAGTAATTATTATATATAGCTACTAAAACTAATAAATATACTTCTTATTAGTATTCTATAATATAATTTTAGATCTTTTATAGATATATAGGAAGAAGTTTTATATTATTTTAAGCTTAAGATTCTAAATAGTTATCTTCTAGTTTCTAATTTTTATATTAGTATAGTAACTATATTAGTTAGATTAGAAAATCAGAAGCTAATAAGATAAGTTTAATAGAGTATTTCTATATATTATAACTATTTATTAAATATCCTACTTATATTAATTTCAGTTTTAATAGAGTATTTAGACTTAATAAAATATACTTTATTTAATTATATATAATAAATAGTATACTATTTAACTAAGAGTATAAGCTTATTATTTATAGCTTATTTCTCTATCTTATAGATAGTAAAGCTTTAAAGAAAGATTATATAATTATATAGGCTATTTATAGCTACTATTAAGAGTATAATAGTTAAGTTTATTACTATTTAGTTAAAATAGTTAGTAGCTAAGAAATAAAAATAGTAATATATAGGAGGAAGGGAAGAAGAGAGAGAGATAGAATATTATTAGTATATATAGAGCTAAAGCAGCCTACTACTACTAATATTTATAGAAAGTAATAGACCTATTAAAGAGTTATAAAGAGATAAGAAATAGAATACAGGTTTAGTATCTATTTTAGTAAGAGGGGGTAGATAAATAAAAGATATTAGTACCCCTAGGCTGTACTTAGTATATACTATTTATTAAAGCAGGGGCTTTAGCTTACTAGGTACTAATAGAAGTAGAGAGTATCTTTCTCTTGATCTAAACCTTAAGTATCCCTATACTATAAGTACTAGCTAAAATAGCAGTAAAACCTACTGGATTTAGTAGTACTAGTAGTACTTTCTCTGTTTAATAAGTAATTAAAATAAGGTAATTAGCTAAATAAGAGTTATTAATATATAATAATTAGACAACTTATATTAAATAAGAGGTCTAGGGTAGATTAAGGTTAAACTAATTAAAGTATTATTCTAAATAGTATAATTAGGTTATCTTAGTACTATATAAGTTATTATTAATATATAAGTACTAAGGAGCTAGTTTTAATAAAGGTAGTAATAGTAGTAGGTAAACTATTATAATTAATAACTATCTAAAAGAGTATTTCTATTTAGTAAAATAAATATATATATATACTAGGGGGATTACCTTAGATTATTAGTGATCTAGTATAAGCTATACCTTAGATTACTATAGCTTACTTATAAGCTATAGTGAGCTAATCTTAATTAGGCTAGTTAAGAGAAAAGAGTAGAATAACTTGCGCTAGTGTAAGTTACTAATATAACCAGGTCTACCTGTGACCTATATAGGGGGTGAAATTCGTAATAGGGATCTTTGTATCCATATGACCGAGATCTCAACGTTCCCTCATCCAGCATAATTGATAGGATCAGGACTCTCTTCGAGCTATCGGGCCCACGCTGATAATTAGGTATTTGGTTGATGCTTGAGACAATGAGGCCGCGAAGGTTCCTACCGGCTAATATGGATAACTCTGATAGGCTGAGGGCCTTGGCGATCCCAACTAGCTAGTCAATTGACCTCTCTTTCTTCCCTTATCCGGACTGACCTCTCTTGTGGAAGAAGGCCGTTCTTGATCTGCTGAATCGTGCTTGCAGCCATCGCAAGATGGAGGATTACCTTTGCATTCATCAATCTGCTGGCCTCCACGGGAATCATGGTCGCATTTACTAGTGAATTCTTTGTGCGTTCGAACAGGCTGGGCCGCGGGCATCAGCCTTCGCAGATGGCTTCAGTTGCTGACGATATCGACCTATAGCCCGTTGGCGCCAACACACTTGATAGAAAGAACATCATAAAGGAAATACATATATAGATGAAAGTAACTATAATAATAATAACCCCCAAACCTCAGACAATTTCTATATCTTGGTTAGGCACACTATCAATAATTTCCAGCGCCTTCTCTGTAGAGTCTACTACTATACTCCATAAACCACGCCGAGCAAAGCGGCCATCATCAAGCTGAGATAAAACCAGCCCAGCGATTCGATGCCATTGCTCTTTTTCTAGGTTCATATAAATTGGAAAGCAAAATATGTCGCATGTCACATCCTGTTTGGTATCAAAAACCACAGTCCAATTAAGACCCTGCATCGAGTTTGGCGCGTCAAACGCAATGGGACTGCCGCCAACAGTAGCTAGACTCTTAAGATCCCATCTTGTTTCTGCTATTGTTCCGATAGAAGGTGGCAATGTGGTATTTTGTGCTGCTTTTCCAGAAAATAGCTTCCCTTTGAGTACGACCACTCCATCTGAAATTCCGGTGACTTGTTCGAAGCTCGGAGTGCTCATATTGGCAGAGACAAGCTCACAGATAAGACCTTCGTTGGCTCTTTCCGGTGTCACTTTCTGGATAACCAAAGGACCCTCAACAGCAGCCCAGCTCCACGATGGTACGTTATTTCCCGCTGGACGATGACCGTCTTTACGGATATTCCACAGTAAGCCACCAGGAAGCATAGCTTTCCACATTCCAGCGAAGTATGCTGTATTATTATAACCCCGCTGGCTTAATGATTCTCCCATTTCGGAAGCCAGACCGGCTACCCTAGCCAGCCTTTCCCCTGGCGATGAGAAACTGCATAGAGCAAACCTTTCCAAAAGAGCAAACCAGTGAACGAATACTTGATCGACTGGGTCTGCTGCTGGGAAGACAACATCGAGAAGTGGCTTCCATATAGTTTGAAGTTCCTGCCCGGTTTGTGTCTTTTCGCCCTCCAACCCGAAGTAAAAGTCTGGAAAGTTAAGTCTGCCTTTTGGATGAGTCTCATCGCAAATAGCACTGTGACACTCCCAATATATTAGGGAGCGCCCAAAATGAAGCATTCGAGGTGTTAACAGCCGCTGATTCATGGCTTGGGCGCTCTTAGAGAGGGGTTCATCCCAAAAGTCGATGACCTTCTCTCCCTGTTGCTCACTCTTAGCCATGTATGGGACCATAGTTCCTTTATCATCCACAGGGATGTGGAGGACAGTAGGCGTAATAAGGCACCGATGGTGCGTAGCGAAAAGACCAGAGGAAGGTGATGTTGATCCTGTTGTAGCAATACCCAAGAATGCATTGGAAAATATATCCCGTAACTGGTTGTTATCAGTAGCCCGATAAGGCTCCGTACGATCAGTCTGGAAAACACAGAGACGATCAATCCATAGATAGGAAAGGCCTAACCGGGATATGACTGAAAAGGCATCCCGGTATGCTAAAGGCAAGGTTGAAAGGGGCTGTGAAGAGGAGAGTTGTTCCAGTGTTGATTGGGTGAGCTGAAGGCTCTGATTATCAATATTGTAGCAGTGAGTGAGGGTGACATAGCGGACGCTGGGCTCTAGTTCTCTTTTGTTGATAAGGCGAAAGGATTCAGAAGCACGGTCTAGCTGTAGAAGGCGGTCTGGTACAACCTGTTCGCGTTCATTGCAGCGCTTATGGGTTCTTATACACGTGTCTAGCCAGCTTTGAATCAAGTCCCAGGCTGTATCATCTATCATGGATGGGCTTGGGTCTAAATTGATCTGGAGATCTGAGGCTGCTATTATATTAGTGAATAGTCAATCAAGTATGATGTGAAAATAAAGGAGGTGCTTACTGGTACATGAACTCAGATTTAGGAAACCATATGTATCGCGGACGTATACATGCATAGTTGCGTCTTTATTCTGGAACTCAACTGTGAAGAGAGAGAAATAACCGAGTTGCGCAATCTTCCGGTTGGCGTCGTCTTCTTCTTTCACAAGGTAAGACTCTAGGCAACAGCACATGATACAACCATCTCGGACTGAGTTTCTGAAAGAATCCAATGTAGGGTGATGTCCCAGAAGATAGTTTTGTGGGAGGCTATACTCAGGGTCCTCTGGCTTGGCATTGGGAAATGGTACCGAGATATGCATGGTGCCGGTCTCATCTTTGAACTCCTCTTTTCGGCATACCCTTGTTGTCTTAGAAGGATCCCATATTCCCTCCAAACCCACTTGACAGACTTGGCAGAGCATAATGATGGCTTTAGAATCCAGGGGGGGGAAGTTGGTGGACAGGGTTGCCTTGGGCTACTAAATGTTCAGGAAGGAAAAACTAAGTAGAAAGCGATAAGCTTTTAAAGAATGTGCAGTTGGTGTTATTCTCTTTAATATTCTTCAAGATAATGAATGGGTCTTAAGTGAAAGAGAAGCGTGTCAGATATTATGAATCGAGTGGGAAATCCACGAGGATATATAGATACGTTAGACAGTAGGCATCCGCACATTGAGTTGCCCCTCAGTGGGTCTCATGGATAAATTTAAGCCTAGACCAGCACGACCAGCCATGCTAGTCTAGGCCTGAGTAATTAATGCAAGGCGTTTTGTTGCCTAAATTTTGATGGCACGAGAGCGAAGTTGCTCCACCCACCCTCAAAAGACTACATTGCCTCGGCCTTAACGTACGATTCCGTGCACCACCGGCCGCCCCATGGGATCCATCCAAGTGGGTTGAAAAAAGGGTGGCACACTTACAGTGAGGCCTACCGAATTTGGGCCATGTTTTTTTCAACCCACTTGCCATCCTCCGAACTTAACCAACTAGACTTCTAACCTGAAGCAGATCTACCTGGATTTGTTTTCTGACCGCAGCATCTAAGGCAGGAGACCCGCCAATATGCTTCTCAGGTCATAAAAGATGAAAGCAAATAACAATTCAGGCGGGATAAGCAGGTTCAAGCAGGTTCGAGCGTCTGAACTATTAGCTTGAGAATATTGAAGCAGGAAGCTAATTTTAAGATTACTACTCTTGGACATACTGTTAGTTGTACTACCACATGTAAGCCCTTAAGAAGCACCGCCGATGACGGAACTATGGCAGCGAAGATAAAATTAGTAAATTATCATCCTAGAGCCATCGTTTTCTTCTTTTGGTTGAAATTACCGCCGCCCTAGGTTTACTTTATGGCATTAATAGTTCTTTGTATTTTAAATTAAATTTGATCTCCATGCCCGCAGGGCGATATAAAGCTGGACTGAAGTCTCCATCCTTAACTTATGTTCTATCATTAACCATTATCTTAACATTCGACTATCATACCCACACCATCATTCTTCTCACTACATCAAACATAAAAATGCTGCCCTCCACTTTTATCGCCTCCGCTCTCCTCCTGCTATCTGGAAGTGCCATTGCTGTCAAAGGAGGCCCAAGATATGGCAATGGAGCTGTTCGACGATCCGAAGGGATTTCGAACACTGCCCCAAGGGCGGTGCCTGAAGGCTATCATGCCCGAAGCAAGAGATCTTCTCTTCGCCGACGGGCTAAGCCTGCTCCTCCCAAGGGTAAGACGAGCCCTCCTCCCAAAGGCAAAACCACACCTCCTCCTAAGGGTGCTCAGAGTTCAGCCGGTGGATCGGTACGTCCTAATCCCAAAATTTCCTGCATTTTATTGTCACTAATCATTCTGTGAAGCAATGCATCCCATCTAATTATGGACCTGGAAAATGCTTTTACAACGGCAGGCCTCCCGCTGTAGATTGTGATCAGGCATTTCCAGTTAGTGAACTCCAAAAATACGTATAAGAGCAAATCTAACATCCAATTCTTACTAGTGCCGGAATGGAAACCTAAGATGCGTCCCAATGCTCTCCGCGGGGACAGCCATGTGCTCTGTTTGAGTGTGATGCGCAGAGATAGATCGAGAAGGGAGGACAGCTAGACTTGGGCTTCCTCGATGGATTCATTTGCCTCTGTTTTTTTTTTCATAGCTCGCTTTTGTTACGAACAAAGCATATGCCTACCGCATCACGTGGCATACCCCACTTTTCTCACCAATAAGAGATGGATCACTCTGGATCGCCAGTGAGCCTGAACGATCCTCCGTCAAACTCACTCTGGATCACCAGTGAGCTATCGCGAGCCCCTAGTATATATGCATATTCATTTCACTAGATAGAACACTCTTTCAGACAGTTATCAATAATATCGTCTACGCATCTATTGTTACTAGCTCCACAATACTCGCATATTGACAGTGACTCGCATTGCACAGCCTAAGACAACCTGATCGCGCTACTCAGAACAACACTCTGATTGGTTCAACCCCGACCTACCCTAGACCCCCGTCCAGTGTAAGTCATCCAACCGTCACAGCTTTGTTCCCTATTTACAGCTATGAACTTCTATCTATATTAAGGCCACTTAAACGTCCAACAAAAATATTTAGGTAACTAGCACTTCCCTACTAATATGTCTTAAAGTATACTCTATAGGTAGCTACTTTATTATCTCTAATATTAAACTTTATCTTTTTATAAAAATCCTAAAAACTAAAGGAATTAAAATTAATAGTATTAGTAGTGCTTTTGCTTACATCCCAGTATAAGACAGAGATAAGTTGTTTTCTATATTCTTAAGTCGAAGGGAAGAGGCCTCTAACCTAGCGCCCAGACGAATTTAGCCCTAAAGGGATAACAGGGGTCATATATAATCGTGGGCGCCTATCTAAGGCTCTGAGCCAATTAGGTCCTCCTGCATCCTTAATATATATATACTTATATCTAACTAATCTTAGTATATAAATTTTATATTTATACTAAGAGCTAGATAATATAATATATATTAGGTTAAGGTTAAGATTTTTATTAACCTTAAGGTTAAGAAATATATAATATAAAAATAAGTTAATAATATTTATTAATCTTAAAATTAAGAAATTTAAAGTATAAAAGTAAGTTAATAATTTTTATTAACTTTAAAGTTAAGAAATTTATAATATAAAAATAAATTAATAATATTTATTAATCCTAAAATTAAGAAGTCTATAATATAAAAGTAAACTAATAATATTTATTAATTTTAAAATTAAGAAATTTATAATATAAAATTAATAAAAAGTAAGTTAATAATATTTATTAACTTTAAGATTAAGAAATTTATAATATAAAAGTAAGTTTATAATATTTATTAACTTTAAGATTAAGAAATTTATACTTTTTTATTAAGCTTTATATTAAAGCTCTTTAGTTTATATTATTATTTACCTCCTCTTTATAAGATATTACTTTTTACTTAAGCTTTTTCTTATATTAATAAAGTAAAGATAAAAGATTTAAAGCTTTATAAACTATACTTTTAAATAATATAATAAAAGGAGCTATTTTTTATAGCTTAGTTAATAAAATATACTATTTCCTTTATATAATTAAAACTTTAACTTATAATTAATTAGTAAATTAATTAATTACTTATATTACCTTAGTTATAATTTTTAAAGATATTATAATAAATATTTTAAATACTTTCTTTATAAGGATTTCTTATCTTCTTAAGCTATTTAATTACTTAAGATAAAAGGAGCTTTTATATAATAAATTATAATATAGATAATAAAGCTATTAATTAATATAATAATTATTATTTACTATTAACCTTTTTACTATTATAATTATAAATATTATATATATATATAGCTTCCTCTCTCTTTACTTTATTAATATAAGTCTTAATATAATAAAATCTTAATATATATTATTATAGTATTAAGAGTCTTCTTTTACTTCTTTTAATATAAATACTTATAGAATTAATATATTAAAAAAATATTAATTAAAGTATATTATAATCTTAAGAAAGTATATTTCTTATTTATATTATATTTATTAAAAGCTTAATTATAGAATATTTAATAATTACTTAAACTTAAAACTAACTTAGCTATTTTCTATCTTAATAAGTAATTATTATAATAAATACTCTTAATAATATATAGAGGTTTTAATAGAAAAACTATTTAAATAACTATTTAATCTTTATATAACTATTTAATCTTTAATAGCTTAATATAGTAATTAAGAATATCTAAAATATTAATTCTATTATGAATTTCATCCCTATATAGGTTATATACAAACTAGTTAGGTTAGTAACTTATACTAGTATAAGTTATTCCCACCTAGTAAATAGAAGACCTACTTCTCTAACTAATTATATATAGATTATTAGGATCTTATAATAATCCTTATAATCTAGAGATATAGATTATTATTAAGTATTAATAATCCCCTAGTATATATATATATTTATTTTACTAAATAGAAATACTCTTTTAGATAGTTATTAATATAATAGTTTATCTATAATTATTATTACCTTTATTAAAACTAGCTTCTTAGTGTTTATATATTAGTAGTAACTTATATAGTATTAAGATAACTTAATTATACTACTTAGAATAACTCTAATTAGTTTAACCTTAACTTACCCTAGACCTCTATTTAATATAAATTACTTAACTATTATATATTAATAACTCTTATTTAGCTAATTACCTTATCTTAATTACTATATAATAATAGAAAAGATATTATAACTACTTTTATATCTCTAAATAAATAGAATAATATTCTAAAGGGACTTATTATAAAATAAGTTATTAAAGACCTTATATTTTATATTAAGTACCTTAAAAGGATAAAGCCTTAGAAGGACTAAAAGGAGGTTATTTAATTAATACCTTTAAGGCTTTTCTTAAGAGATACTTAAGAGCTAGATATATTTAAAATCTAACTTTAAGCTTATTTTAAATTCTTTCTAATAAAACTTAAAAAAGATAAAGATAAAGTTAAGTTTATAAGAATATACCTTACTAATACTATAAGATAATAGTTCTAAGTATTTTTTTATAATTAATATAAAAATAAAGTTAAACTAAAAAATAAAGATTAAATAATAGTTAATATCTTTATAGAATATAATAACTTTATTATTATATTTATAAGAGCTTTTAAGAAGGTTAACTATAAATAATAAATTATAAAAGAATTTAAAGATCTTTAATAAACTAAAGCTATTTTAAGCTATATTACTAAATTTAAGAAGGTTATATCTTACTTAGACTAAGATAATAGCCCTCTTAAATCTATACTTTATAATAAACTTAAAGATAAAGTTAAGGACTAACTCTTTAAGATAGATAAGTTAGAAGACTTAATAAAGTATATAGCTATAGTAGTATAAATTAATAACTATATATATAAATAAAGGTTATAAAAAGAGAAAAGATAAAGTAATTAAAACTATATTAAAGTAAGTAATAAATCTAATTATAAAGTATAATAAGCTTTATTACTATTTATAGTATTTAGAATATATTTAGATCTTATAGAGCTAAGAGCTATAAAAAAATAAAAATACTATAATTATAATAAAGTTAAGTATATTATATCTTAATACCTTAAATATAAGAAATAATATACTTATCACTCCGTGGTCACTTTCGCAGTGGTATCAACCCCCTCTCCCTTATCTATCTTAATCAGCCAAACGTCGGCTTTGATACGCGGTGTTATATCTTAGGTTGCAGGATATTAGTTAGCCTCCTGCAGATGCTACAGGGTACGTGGTATCATATAATTTGGCGCCTCTTCTCACTAGACATGTGACAGCCTATATTAGCACCAGTCCCATTGATTCGGTTCGACTGGAGGTCCTCAATTAATGTACCAATCATTGAGCTAACATATAGTATCCCTTTCCTAGAAGTTTAGCACGACCTGTGGTGAAAAGGCAGCAGTCATGCTCTATTATACCTACCTAGAACGTATTAAGGTGCTACAGTTAGGCGTGATGATGATATAGTGAACTATGCTGAACTGCTATATAACGGCCAGTGGTACTTTGTAGGTTCTACCACCATTTTACGCGGCCGGTGACACTGCCCTCAAGTATGTTGTATTCTCTTAATGAAACGCGCCTCTCGCGTGAGTACAACGAGGACCCCAAAGAAAATATATATCCGCCATCTAGCATGTGCAACTATATTTATGTGAGTCAACCGCTCCAGTCTTCAATCAAGCTACCAGGGTTAACACAGTACAGAAGAAGTTTAGCTGTGAGTACAACTACTATCTAGTAGAATCATGGTGCACGAAGTACATTCAGACTCAGAAAATATGCCCTATTACTGTTGTCTGCACCAATAGCGAGGCAGAGTTGCGTGGCAGCTGGTTTCGGCTGCTTGGTGGGATTGCTCTGGTCACGTGTGTCTCTCCCAGCGAATCGTATTAGGTGTATTACCTGCAGCCAGCGAACACCCCCACCTCCATTTGCGAACTCTTGAGTTCAGATATAGCACTTAATTCCCCACAGCGTTCCCCTAGCTTAGTAGTCTAGCGACAATGCTTGTCCATCTTTCCCAAGCCTCGTACTCGTTGCCTTCACCTTGCCTGGCAAGTGCATGCCACTGCCTTTTGGCCCCACATCTCTGTTATGAATCTAATTCGTATTTATCCTCAAGTCACCCCTGCTCCTCTGCGCCGAAATAGAACCGACCTAAGACAAAACAAACATTTCCCTGTCAGTTTATTCAAGAGCTGGCCCGCTCGTCATTCGGCAAGGGGCAGCGAACAAGCTTTCACTGCCAGACTTCAACCAGACGATGGGATGGAGGCGTCAAGTTGTTGGTTCCAAACCCAAGTACACATTGCAACCACGGGTTTTCAGCGTGCGTTCCTGGGGGAGCGATGGAACGGCATAGCCCGTCTTTGGTTTTACCGCTAAGAAAGTGCAATGAAGTGGTTACTGTCTTCTAACGAAAGGCGCCGTTGTTGGGTGGAGAGATTGGGGGAGTCAACGGAGAGCCAGGGTGTGACTTTTCAGGGTCATCATCCATCGCTTC